CATGCTCTCCATCACCCTGTTGTCGAATGCTACTCCTGGATCGACGAAGAAAGGCTCAAGATCCTCGGCAAGTATCTTCGTCCCAATGTCTTCGTGCAAGTCGAGAATCAATTGGACTGCAGACGCCATCCGGTCCCCGAACTCGGTTTCGACTTTCCGCTGGTCCAGTGGCTCTTCCTGTGTCTGGTTCACGACACACGCAATACGATAAAACAAGGAGGCTTTGATCTCGGGCGAGGACTGCCGCTGGACTAGCTGCTTCCTGGTCATCGCTCGCCATCTCAGTGCATCCCTTTTATCCTCTGGTCTGCGTCAATATCAAGGATCTTGGGGCTGCACACGGCTTACTCACCGGCGCGACGAACTCCTGCGTATAATTCAGTTAAAAAACTGTTGGCCCCCTCGCCCTGACGCTCGGGAACCCACGAGCGGAGGTGGATGAAGCTCCAGCTGGCCATTGCGGTCTGCAGCGCGACCTGGACGAGTATGTCTGGCGCGCGACCAGATAGCAATCCCGCAAGCTCATTCCCCACTGCCGAAACCGCACGACCATGAACGGCGGTATGGTCTGGCCGTCCACCGTAACCGCGGCGCTGAGCTAATTTATTGCGTAGATCGCAATCGGACAATGCCGCCGCGATCTGGAATATTTCGGCGTCGAGATTATCCATCATCCGACGGATATCTGCGGTCGAGGTCGCATTCGCCGTGATGCCAAAGGTCGGCCCTTGATTTTCAAACTGCACCTCCGCCGCACGAGCCTGCGCCGCCGCCAGTTGGGTAGCGTAATCCCGATTTTCTTCCACGAGCCGCATCCTTTCGACCTCCATCTTCTCCGCTTCGATATGGAGATTGTGGATCTGCTTCTCGAGGTCCCGCTTTTCCCTCTCCAGCCTCTCCGTCGCCTTTCTGCTGTTTCCGCCTCTCCTCTCTGACGCTTCCCTCCTCGCGCGGAGGGGATCATGCGCCCTGGGATAATTCGAAGTCTCCTCCCCCTGGGGATTGACACGGTGCGACGCTTCGTCTACCGGGATGAAATGCTCCTCGGGCGCCGGCGTCCTACGGGTGACTACTGAAGGCTGTTCCGAGAGCGAACGGGGGCCTTCAACGATGGACTCAGTGCCCTCGAACCTCCCAGCCTCGTGATGGGCGACGACTGCTGACTGTTCCGAGGCTGAACGGGGGGCTTCACTGATGGACCCACCACCGAGCCTCCCAGCTGCGATCTCCCGTGTCGAGAGCTCCGCTGTAGACACCCCCTCCCACTCTCTGGGCGAGGACTGATGGGCACGATCTGACTCCGTTTCTCCCTCCCTTTGCGTCGCCTCGGTGGCCTCGTAGATATCCATTGCCTTGGTCCGTGTCACCGTCTCTCGTTCGGTATCGGAATGTGCTGTGAAGAGGTGGGTCACTTTCCGCAAGGCGGGGAGCATGCTGGCGTGGGCGCTTACCCTGACCACGAGTGCCACTCAACCTCCCACCACCGTCTTCTGGCGCTCGCCGCGTTCCCTTCTCGAAGAAGCGTTTTGCTTGACGTGTCCTTGTAATAGGCGCCAGGCCACGCCTCTCTTGACCACGCACTGCCCACCATCCCGCAATACTCTGGCAACCAGAGAACACGAGCCAGGGTCTGGCTCGTGTCAGTCTCTTGTAAGCTTTAGATCACTGCGAGGCGCTGGGCTACTTTGCGCACGGTGGGAAGCATGTTATCGTGGGCGCTTGCCCTGACTACGAATGCCGCTGAACCTCCACCACCACCTTCTGTCCGTGGCCGCATTGCCTTATCGATGGCTTCGGGCGTTTTTGTTGACGTGTCCTTGAGACTTGAATAAGCGCCTCGCCACGCCTCTCTTGACCACAGCCCTCACCATGCCCGCATACTCTGGCTCTGCTCGGAAACTCGTTCTCGGTATCGATATTGGCACGACATTTTCGGGGATGTCTTTCTGGTATGTGACTCTCTCACTGAAGTTCCAGGGCCTTACCTTCGTCGCTCCCAGTCTGCTCGATCCCGGCAGAATCCCCGAAATATTGCCAGTGACAAGGCGAGTCGTTTGTGCCTTTCTGATTCGGGCATCATTTGAACGGCTCTGGTCAGGTACCCCGCGCAAGATCATGTTGCGGGGGACTCGAAGTTGCCCTCGATCGTTTATTATAATCGCTTGGGCATCCCAATGGCATATGGCGCTGAGGCCCTCCAGGAAAGTGTCGTTGAAAAGGCGGAAACAGAAGGGTGGGAGAAGGCGGAGTGGTCGGTTTCAATATAATGATCTTTCGTATTGCGGGATACTGACCGGCATTCCAGGTTCAAGCTTCATCTTCGGCCCACAACAGGGGTGATTTCCCGGGCGTCGATCCCCCGGCTTCCTGCGAATAAAGCTGCTTCCGACGTCTTCGGCGACTTTCTACGGTACCTGTTCAACTGTGCGAAGCTCTACATCACGGACCATTACCCAAGTGGCAATGCACTGTGGATCGAACTCGAAAATACCATGGAGTTCGTGCTCACTCACCCCAATGGGTGGGACGGAGTACAGCAGTCCAAGATGCGATCCGCCGCTATTGTCGCCGGGTTGATTCCGAATGCTCGGGAAGACTGGGAGCGCATCCATTTTGTAACGGAAGGGGAGTCAAGCCTTCACTTCTGCATTCTGAATGGACTAGCGACGGATCCATTACGCGTATGTCTCTTCATCGCGTGTCAAAAATCACTGACCTTTACTCGAACAGCTCGGCAAGGGCGTCATTATTGTCGACGCAGGTGGTGGTACGGTTGATATCAGCGCATATCGCCAGGTCATGACGGCGAAAGGCGAGACATTTGAGGAAATCGCGCGCGCCCAGTGTGAGTAATATCACACCTATTCCCGTGCGCGCGGGTCTGATTGCGTAAATTTAAGGTCTTTTTGAAGGATCTATATTTGTGAGCCAACGGGCTCGTAATCATTTCAAAGGTTCGCATCGCCCTTCTTCGTTGAGAACACCTCACATATTCCCGTCTAGGCAAACTGCAAGGTTCGAAGTACGAGGACGACGTGGCTCACATCACCGAATGCTTCGACAAGACAACCAAGTTGAGATTTCGAAGTACAGATACCTGGTCATACATTCGATTTGGGCGTCCGAGTGACAAGAATGAAGCGCCGAACATATCCAGTGCCAGGCCAGATGAAACTGGCGGGGTGCGCATACTCGTAGTCTTGCTCGTAGTTGCTGATTCGCTCTGACACTTCCATCAGCAACGCTGTCGCAGCATTCTTCAAACCCTCGCTGAACGCTATTCTGCGAGCCGTTAAGAATCAATGTGACACTTCCGATGTTCCAGTATCGGTATGTACCTCCCTGCTATCGTTAAACTTGAAACAGCTTAGTTTCTTGAACAGTCCGTGTTGCTCGTCGGCGGCTTTGCGGCCAGCGAGTGGTTGTATTCCGAGCTCAAAAAGAGTATGAACTCCCAGGGCCTAGAGGTGTCTCGCCCAGATTCCCATGTGTTCGTCCTTCCCTTTCGCTTCACTAAAAATCTTCCGACACATCATTTCCAGGAACAAAGCAGTTGCCGATGGCGCAGTTTCGTTTTACTTGGAGCACTATGTCTCGGCCAGGGTTTCAAAGCATACATATGGAATTGAATGCATTACTGAATACATCTCCACCAACGCAGAGCATCGTGTTCGCTCGCACACATCCTTCCAGGATGTCGCCGGGGTCCTGGTCATCCCGAAGATGTTCTCCGTCATTTTAAACAAGGCAAGTTATAGTTATATGCTCCCCATATACCCGAACTTCACTGTGATACTTCAAAGGACACCCGTGTATCTGCAAATAAAGAGTTTCGCCAAAAGTACACGCAATCGCAACACGATCGGGCGAACCTTCGCTCAGTAACTATCCCGATACTCTGCTACCAGGGCAGGGATCAAGACCCCAGATGGACTGATATCGAGGGCGGTGAGCGACTCCGATCCAGCCTGCCGGGTAATACTAATAAGTAATCCGCACCTCAGACAAATATCCTGTTCTATGCATGGTTCATGCGGATACGTCACAGATCTCCAGGACACTCAAGCCGCAGCATGGTCAATCCGGGATCTATTATCGCCTTGAATTCGATGTAGTGTTGTCGTTGGGACTCACGGAGCTGAAGGCGCAGATTGCTTGGATTGAAAATGTACGGAGACACTCCTTCACTCATCGCTTGACTCAGCTAATAATTGCATAGGGCGTCGAGAAAAGGTACGCACACATACTCCCGATCCCGGCGCGAATTCTTAACTATTTTACAAGGGGGCCGGCTGAACTGGTGTACTAGTGTTTTCGTTGACTTGTGACAAGGACAATCTGTATCTGTATCTCAACCAATGACTTTGACTGATTCAACGTCCCGCGAATTGAGTCATACCTCCGGGAACACAGCCGCGACCAAATAACGAACATAACGATGGTCCGTGCGCAATCCTGCAAGTATAAAATGTGAATCTCTTCATCCTCAAACTTCACTTACCTTGATGGCATGGATCCCTTCACTCCCCGGGTCCATGGACCACGAGCACACTCCATCGCACGGCGCATATCCACACCGAGTGTGCTCGCGGCTTGGGCGGGCTTCGGCTCGTCCACTATTCCAATATTTTCCCGTCCTGTGATAGCCACTCGGCTCCCCAGGCCTTTTTTCTGCCAAAACGCGCTGCTAACCCTAACCTTCGAGCCATCAAAATATCTCGCTTTGACCGCTCGGTGATCTTGGAACCTACCTACCACGTAGATACAAACTGCTGTCATAGCCCAACCAGGCCCACAAAGTTGCACCATCAGCTTGTGGCACGGCGTAAACCTGCTCCCAATGTTCCCAATTTTCAACATCTGAGCATCCGGAGTTTAGAGGGCGCGGATTGCCGCCAACCCCTTAGGCTATAACTAACCTCGATAAAAGTGATCGATAAAGGAAGGTGGCTCGGAAAGTACGCTACCCGGACTGTTACTGTGCACCAGTGCTATTGTACGCGTCCCTGGTGTAACGGTAACACGCGGCACTCAATCGATCTTCCGCCGAGTATGGGGTTCGACTCCCCGGGGGCGCCTCGCCGGGTTTTTTTCCTGGCGCGCCTGCTCATTTTATGTGCTGTGTGGTAAGTAGATGCGAATGAAGTGATTGGCATAGTACAACAGTGGTAAATTTAACCTGACATAACAGTCGCAGCGGCGTAGCCTACGCTCGTTGGTTTGCGGTTCAAAATAGAGCGGGGTACTGGAAGGCCGCATCAGACATTTGACAAATCCCTTGTGACCTTGTACAAGGTCAAAAAAGGCCTCAAAAGGCCACAAGCTCCCGCCAAATTGGAAAAAGGCCACAAGGTCACAACTCCAGAGGTTGTTTCCACAAGGTCGCCAGTTCGACCCGCACTCGGGGTAATTTCTGCTGGTTCAATATTGATCTGGGCCTTGAGAAGGACATAACGGAGCTGAATGAGAGTCTCCGAACAATCTAGAGTACTCCTTTGCTTCTGAATCATGTTTTCAGACCCCTCATTCTCAACCTTTTTGCCTTGCGAGCTTGCGGAAAAGGTGACAAGGGCCGAAAGACCGCAAGATTTTTGTCAACTTGCTGATGGGTATCAGAATGCAAAGTCGAGATGTGAACAGTAAAAGTGATAAACTCACGGCAGTCGAATCGGGCGGACATTCAAGTTTCATCATCGGCCCTCACCCGAAGTACTCAGTGCGAGTGACGATGGGATCGATCGGAGCGGCAGCGAACGCAGACAGGTCAATGGAAACGACGCTGCTGCGCTTGCGACGCGGGAGGTTGGCGGCGGTGGGGCCGAGGTGGCCTTTGGTGCGAATATCCGGGAGGAGGGGCGCGAAGGAGAGATAGAGGGTGAAGCCGCAGCGCTCGCGGAGGGATCCACGACGAGACGAGGACGAGGATGGGACGATGGAGGTGGGTGATGCGAACATGGTGGTTGAAATTCTGAGGGAAAGGTCATTTAGTGAGTGAAAGGGCGGGGAGCTGTGGAAGTGCCACCTGGCTGGCACATCGCCATTGGCCATTGCGGGTATTCCACCATTCCAGCAATCACGCTCACCTGACCGCGTCGAGTTTTATTCCGCGCGTGCCGAAGAACCCATCCAGCGCGTCGACGCGAGGACTACATATCTGCACCTTCGACATCCTCGAATTCCTCGAGCGTTACTCACCCTCCTTCACAACCACTCCAACGCTTCACCATCGAGTCTCCAACGGCGGCGGCGAATATTCGTTCTCGGTTGATATGTTTCCGACCTCGTACTTACACCCTCACACTTGTTTCCTTACTTATCTGGTCTCTCTTCACAGACAATTTCCTCCTACCTCCTACGTACGCCAACGCGACGAGCGGATATCCAAGTCGTCGGCCTTCTCGGACTACGCCGGGGATTGAGCCGACTGTGGCCTGGGCCCCCATAAGTCACCGTTGAGCGGCGCAACGTGCTCTCCCTATTCCGTATTTGCGTAGCTCCCGGTTGGTTCGACGGCGAGGGTTACGCTCTAGCGGAGGCACACTATACCTACGGACTCTTTACTTATATTTGCACCGATCGTTGACCGTCGGTATTTAAGTAGCTACCGCTGTCATGTACAGGGGTTCGCCTCTTGCTTCCCACCACCACAATCCTTTCTCTGAGTTACCCTCCTGCGCTTTCCTGAGTATCCACACCCTCCGAGCTGAGTTCCCTTCCTTCATATATCTCATTCTTGACTACGCCTACTCCAGATTCATCGTCTCGGGCCCTCGGCAATTCTTCCACGCATCTACTCGCTCCCCCGGCACGACCAGGCACCTCACGTTCCCTCTGGGGAACAACCCTATCTTCTACAGAGCCAAGGAGGAAACGTACTGTTGGTGGTAGAGGGTGGGTTGATGAAGTGTGGAGGTGGAATTGGCTCAGATTTATATACGTTACGATAGGGGTCTGAGACTTTTTACATCCGCGAGTTCAGTATCCCGCAGGTTTGGAGCGTCATCCTAGCCCCATTCTACCCGCAGCGCACGAGCGGAGCCGCGAAGCATGTCTCAAACTTCCGCCCAGAATAAGTACGCCACTACCCATAGTTTGCCGTTCCTCACATACAATTACTTGCCAATCGCGCAAGTTGGAGGAAAATCCGGAATAGTTCTCTGACGGAAATCGTTCCAAGGAGATATTCGACGTGGACTGGCGGATTGAGAGAACAACCCTAACAGTTTTGAGTTCAGTTGAAGCAGCGCCAGGCAAATGGTGACCTGCCGATTAAAATTTCCGAGACTTGAGTTTTGTCGTGACCTGCGACATCGAGCTTCGATCAAGTCGGGAGAGCAACACCCCCGCGAGGTAATCTCCTTCGGAGGATTCCGTGCTCACGTCTCCAACGCCTTTCCGTAGATCGACACGAGGAGAGTTCGGCAACCGCGAGTTGCTGACAAGCCACTGCCAAACATTTCAAGAGCTTAGCCAAACAACGTCGCAAATGAATCCGAAGAACGTCAAATTGAACCGGGGAAGCCTAGGAGGGTACAAGGGGACGTAGAGTAGTCCAGCGAGTTCAGCGTCCGCGTTGATATGGTTCCGAGGCCGATCTTGCATTTGCCGTGGCGGAGTTCTCAGTTACGACTTCACGCTTGTCCGAGCTGCGGGTTTGGAAGGTATGCGGCGAAGGTGCCCCCGGTCTTGTCCGGCAGCGGTGGCTTGGGGCGGGCGCCCGGGATTGAGAAATGCGCGTGCCGTTTTGCGCCTGGTACTCAGAACTCCGACCGCGGGCGCAGGGAGGATTGAGAGACGCGTCTGCAGGGTCAGGTTTGAGTCGTTGATTCCATTTGCGTACCGCGTCGTCTTGTAGAGGTTGTGGATTTGCGAGTGAATGTTCCAAGTCTGTACCCGCCAAGAGTTAGCATGCGACCTTCGTCAAGACGGGGAGACACATGCGACATAGCGAGAGCAAAGCAGCGGATGACAGTAAATGGAGAGAAAACTCGAGAGCAGGTCGGCACCGAGAACGAGATGAGACGTGGCATATCAAGGGAGGTGTTGCGGCGGATCTTGGGGTATCAAGATCTGAAGACGGATCAGCTATTGAGCGAGCAGTGAAGGCGGAAGGAGGAGGATTCACAGGTTACGAGCGAGAGCCTGCCGTGCGTGGTGTACCCGATCGACGAGAAGTGTGGCGAGCGGAGGACGCGCGCGTTGAGGGTGGCGGGTACCGAACGGTGGACGCGGGCGGTGGGTGGTGGGTGGGATTACGTTGGAGGACTTGCGCGTTGAGGACTTGTGGATCGAGGACAGGAATGAAAAGGTCGGCGGTAAGGGATGGGGACCATCGAAGAGAATGGGTGTGGGCGGAAGAGGAGCTGGGGAGGCAGCGGTCAGTCTTGCATACGGCGAAATAAAGGACAAGAGTGACGTACCCAAAGGCACCGCGTCAAGACCGATAGTAGGGCGGAGGGGCTCGGGTCGAGGATGAGGCCCGTGGTAGCGAGCGCCAAACAAACCGGATGTCGCGCCGCAGCATATGACGGACTCGTCGAGACGCAGGATGGACGCGAGAGTCAAATCTGAGCTGCTTAAAGGCTCTCGAGGTCGAAGCGAGGGAGGAGGCGTTGCGGCGGGATGCGACTGCAGTGGCGAGAACCAGAAGGGCCATGGCGAGGACCAGAAGGGCGTCGCATCGGAGCACATGTCAGACGTATCGAGCGGCGGCGAGGGAGAGAGCCAGCGGCGGGATGGTGAGAAGGCGGAGGAACCAGTCGAGCATGCGTAATGTGGGGGCTGCGTCGAGCGTCAGCCGACGAGGACAACGGAAGACGGAAATAAGGTAGGGAGCAGACATACTCGGTTGCCCCACGTGTCGTTACGGTCACACTTCCTTTTTCGGACATCCACCGCCGCGACCCCAATTCACACTACTTGTTCGCAACTCATGTAAAAACTGGCCCCATAAAGTTTTTTGAATATACCTTGAGTACACCTCTGATTTTTCTCGAGGATTTTGGTGCAGAATTGAAGGCGGTGATTCAAATTCTTTCTAAAATTAGCCGTAAGTTTGCCTCGATGCGCGAGTACTGGCGCTCGTTGCCGAGTTTCTTTGCCTGGCGTGCCTCGAAAAATTTGCAATGTCTGTGCTCTGTGTCTCTTCCCTATGGCCCCTCCCAAAAAGTCGGTACGAGAGCGACTCAGTCATTTCGGCGGTGGGAAGTTGTCGCCGCGTAAGGCCATCAAACGCGTCGCCGCGATCGCGTTGAGTCCTGTCAAGGCGCGTCCCCAAAAAAGGAACCGGAACGCAGATCCCGAGGACGATCAGGTGAGAGTGACTTCTCTACTGCTGTACGCGACTGATGCTCGACCAGTCTGCCTCTACGACGTCAAACCCTTCCAATAATCAAATTGAAGATGTCTTCTTGGCCGACGCTGATTCTCCGTCTTCCCACTATCATGAATTCCACCAAGGCAGAAATCCAGAGCCTCCCACAGCAGCCCCTCCTGCCTTCGTGCTCAAGGGCAGACTGAATCTGAACAGTTCTCAATATCCCGTACCAGAGGCTGACCGCGCCTCACCGACTCCTCGCGCACCTTCGTTTCTCGATCACTCTGATGACGACAATGATCTCGACAGCGAGATTGTTTCTCCTGACCAGGATGAGCTCTGCGTACCGGAGGCCGGTAATTTTGGTGGCGATGGATATCCTCGTCCAGCGCCGCCCCAAACCTTCGTTCAAAAAATGGCCGCACTTGGGACCAAGCAATTTTTGGCAGTCGCTCCCGACATCACTTCGGCAAAAGCCGCCCTGACCGATATCGAGCTTGTGCTGCGAGGTCCCAGTCGCGGTAAAGGTGGAGGCTTTACACCACCAGACCTGAGCCCTTGGGTGCGGGTCCGAATGGAGGGGATCCGGAGCCATCTTGCCCAATACACTCATCCGAATTCAGTAACTTACGGCAAATGGGCTCTTTCTGCCCGTCAAGCGGCCATTGCGGTCGGCCGGGACGTTTACTGCGCACGACGTTTCGCCAATCTCAGTCGGGAATACATCGCAAATCGCAAAGTACTCCCTATCAATCCGTACGG